GCCCGCCGAGCCAGCCACGCTCCCTAGCTGGCGGGTGGGGCCGAGCCGCTCACGTGGTCAGAGATGAGACACGAAGACCTCTGACTTCTGCCCCCGGGTGGCGGCACGCGGGAGGCTTGAGGGCGTGTCACGTGAACCCTACGCCATCCCTTCCGGTCGTTTTTGCGGTCCATGGGCTCTGCCCCGGAAGTAGTTCGGGCAGGTTCTAGTCCATACCACTGCCGCGAGGATGAGGGTGAAGGTGCTGAGCCGGAACCCGGATGATTACGTCCGCGAGACCAAGCAGGATCTGCAGCGCGGTGAGCGCGCGCGCGCGCGCGGGGCCGTGGCGGTTGCTTGGGGAGCGGAGGGGGCCTCAGCGGTCCGCGCGACGGGCCGGTGCTCGGGGCAACCCCGGCGCAGAGCCCCGTTCTCCCGGGAGCGCGGGGGTGGGTCGGCCGCGTGTGTGTGCAGCGGCCCTGCCTGGGAGTAAGCGCTGACAACAGCGGGGGCAGCGCCAAGCCGACTCCCCACCCCGGCGTGTGCGCGCCAGGGACTGGCCTCGAGTGCTACGCGCCCCTGCTGGTGTCGGCAGCGGCCCGGCCCCCGTTCAGCGTGTGGCTGGGCCGGGCTCTGGCGTCGGACGTCGTCGTGTGTGTACTTCAGTGCACGTGGGGACCCTCGCTCCCTGCGCGCCGCTGCGCCTTGCGCTGCCTCAGGACCTTTGTGCCCCCGTGTGGGTCTCCCCCTTGTCCTGGTCGAGTATCTGGCGCGTTGATGAAGTTCCCGTTCCGCTCGCTGCGTGAGGCAGGGAGGTATCGTGAGGCAGGCGCCACAGATTGGTAAATGAGAGGGAGGTGAAAGCCAGCACCTCTAGAATCATCCGAAATCCCGAGAGCTTCTATAACTAGATGCCTGTGGCTGTGTTGACTGATGTACAGAAATGCTGAGCTCTAATAGTTGCTGTTGATTTCTGTGGGAGTTGAGAATAAGGTTATGTCTACACTGGAAAGATTTGGTGACGAAAGTGCTGTCGACATGCAAAATTGCCAAAACTTAAAACTCACCAACCCTGTTTTTCTGCCACATTGTTAGCTCCCCTATTGACAGAAAAAGCAAAGCAATGTGGGTAAGTATTACACACTACCTGGTGTCACCTTCAGTTGCTAAGCACTGTGGGAATGTTAGGACATAACACTAGGCATTTTGGGAACATGAAAAACATTTTGGCAGTCACCTCATCTCTTTGCTTCCCAGCCCTTCCTGGGTTTCTAGCTGACTTAAGCACCACTTGAATGACAGTCCTTGCTGCAAACTCCAGCATCTGCTGTGAGAAATCTTGGATCCCAGACTTTTCTCACATGTTGTGTTCAATGTGTTTAGGATATTGCACATAGCAGCAGAGCTGCTTACGCACTTAATAGCAGAGGATGAAGACTCAAATGCTGACGACAGCATGACTGTGATAGCAGTGAAGTGGCATTGCATTGGGCTGTCCCAGAGAAGCTCTGCAGAGTAGAACTTTGCTTTTGGGCTAGGGAAACCAGCACTGTGTGGTGTGTTCACATTGTCATGCTGTTAGAAGATGAAGACCATGGCTACAGAACTTTTGGCTGCATAAAGTAACCTTGGAGCTGTGTGCTGAGCTGGCCCCTGAACTGTGGCACAAGGGAACCCAAATGAGAGCTGCTGTCTTGGCAGAGAAGCGTGTTGCAATTGCTTTGTGTCAGCGTTTCCCAAACTATGGGCCGTGGCCCTGTATCAGGCCTCAGGAGAAAATCACTGGGCCTCAGCGTGGTTGCCGGGGTGTTCTGCGCTCCCAGAGTGTCCGTGTGGTGCTGGGTCCCCCAAGCCCTTGGCTGGCCTGGGCGGAGTCTGCAGCCAGATGTTCCGACTCCCAGCAGAGTCCTAGCTAGGGGAGGGAGGCAGGGGAGGAGGAGGGGAGAGCTGGCCACTGGAAGCAGCACTGGACAGGGGAATTGAGGCAGAGGGAGGGGCATGAGAGGTGGGAGGCCAGGGGAGATTCTGCTCTCAGCCTCCTTTGCAGGACCCGAGAAGAACCCCGCCGGAGGCAGTGCTGCGCCAAGAGCCAGAGGCGAGGCAACCGACGTGGGCGGCCGGCCCGGAGAGGAGTGGGATGGAGCGGAGCAACCCAGTGTCGGTGGCGGTCAGCAGACAGACAGTTGGGAACAGCGGTCCGGGGATTCGGGCTCCGACCGAAGCGGCCAGCGGGGCCGGCGAGCTCATTGGGAGTTGCCCACAAAGAGTGGACCGTGGGAACGGAGAGGTAGAGGCCGGGAGCAGGGGCGGCTCGGGGCCGAACGGGGCAAAGGCCCACGAACTGGGGGCGCCCCGTGACCCCTGATGGACAACCCGGCTACAGACCCATAGGCTACATCTAGACTGGCATGCTTTTCCGCAAATGCTTTTAACAGAAAAGAGCGACTAGACTGGCACGGACGCTTTTTCACCATATGCAGATCTCAGGGCGCTGCCCCTCTCCCCCTTGATAAGACACTTACTCTTGATAAGACACTTCAGCATTTCATTTTGGTCTTCCGATAGCACAAGAGCCGTGGTCACCAACTGGTTGATCGCGATCGACTGGTCGCTCGCGAGGGCTCGACCAGTCAATCGTGAGGCATTCAGGGGGCCCCCTGTCCTCCCCCACCCCTGAGAAATCTCAGGGCGCTGCCCCTCTCCCCCTTGATAAGACACTTACTCTTGATAAGACACTTCAGCATTTCATTTTGGTCTTCCGATAGCACAAGAGCCGTGGTCACCAACTGGTTGATCGCGATCGACTGGTCGCTCGCGAGGGCTCGACCAGTCAATCGTGAGGCATTCAGGGGGCCCCCTGTCCTCCCCCACCCCTGAGAAGCCCCACTACCTACTTCCAGCGAAAATGGAGGTAGTACCGGCTTCCTGCGGAGTGGGCGGAAGTCCTGCAGCTGCGTGCCACTTCCGGGTGTTCTGGAAGTGTTCTGGCTGCTCCCCTCCCTCAGGTCTGTGGCACCGCGCTGGGGTGGGGAAGGGAAGGGGAGTTGGCCCCAGAGGTGGTGCGCACCGGGCCTTCCCTGTGAGGCGGGAGGGAGAGTTGGTCCCGGAGGAGGTATGCATGGGGGCTTCCCTCCTCTGTGGGGGATGGAGTCCTGGGAGGAGGCTGGTGCAGGGGACTCCCTGCCCCCACTGGCACCCTGTCCCCTGCTGCAGAACCCTATTGCCTCTCCCCGGCACCCTGTCCCTCTCTTCTGTTCCCCCACTGGCACCCTGTCCCCTGCTGCAGAGCCCTATCCCCTCCCCATGGCATCCTGTCCCCTCTCTCCTGTTCCCCGCTAGCACCCTGTCCCCTGCTGTAGAACCGTGCCCTCACCCCAGTATCCTGTCCACTGCTACCCTGTTCCTTGCTGCAGAACCCTGTCCCTTCTCCCCTGGCATCCTGTCCCCTCTCTCCTGTGCCCTGTTGCAGAATCCTGCCCCATCTCAGCACTCTGTCCCCTGCCCCAGCACCTACTAGCACCGTTCCCCACTACCATGTCCCCTGCTCCCACCAGCACAATTGGGGCCACATCAGGAGGGGGGGGGGGGGGATTTGCATCTCCCTTGTGTGGCCCCAATTTACTTTTCTGTGGGTTAGTAACCCAATGACACAAAACAGGTTCCCTGCCCTTCTCATGAATAAAGACAATGCAGAAACTTTTTGTGTTTGACTTAGTATTTTATTTAAAAATGAAGCCTGGCCAATTAAACCCCCAATTGGGGCCAAGCCCCCATCTGGCCGCAGCATTATAACACTCCTGCACCCCAGCCTGACCCTAGATCTGAGCCATCATACACAGGAACCCCCTGCCCTGAGCCCCTCACATACCTAAACCCAAATTCCTGCACCCTCACAACCACAAGCCTATGGCTTGCTTAGTACTGCAACCCTCCATCTGACCCCAACACTCCCTAGCCTGGAACCCCTTCCCAGAGCTTGCACGTCTCACCCCCTTCCCACACCCAAATCCCTTATTCCCACCCCAGAGCCCACACATCCTGTCTCAACCCACTGAGGGTAAGACTGCAGGAGTTTTTCCAGGATTCCAGAGATATCCTGGAAAAACTCTTTTGCATCCAGGGATGCATTTGTTCTGCTTTTTTTAGTGGAAGAGCAAACATGCTCTTTCGGTAACCCCTATATTCCTCGTTCGACGAGGAATAAGGGAGATTCCAAAAGAAGAGGTTTTTCTAACATTTGGTCCAGTCTAGACAGGCCAAATTTTGGAAAAAAACACTTCCTACAGAAGAATTGGAAAAAAAAAGTGGCAGTGTAGAGTGTATAAGGGCTGGGGATAGCAAGTGATGAAGAGGAGGAAAATAGAAAGGGTGGGGCTTTAAGGAAGGGGTGTGGTCTTAGGATGGGGCGGTAGATCTTTGCTTGTTCTGAGGTTTAAAAAGTGATCTTGGGTGTTAAAAAGGTTGGAGACCACTGCACTAGAGCAATTTACTGCCCTGCATGGCTGCTGCTCACACTACTCCTCCTCCCCTGCTTGCACAGCAACTTATCCTGCACCTCTTCCCTTGCTTCGTGACTCTGCATCTCTTTCCTTACTTCATGCTCCATGTCCAGTTGCTGAGTCCTCATAAACCCTGGGATTTGAGAACAATTCCTTACTGCCTGGCATACAGGTTATTGCTGGATTGAGCCCCATCTCCTCATCCACTTCCATCTCCTCATCAGTAACTTCATCTGTCTCTGGGCTATCTCATGCTTCTGACTCTGTATTATGGGAAATATCCACCCAGGATTGCATCCAGTTCTTTATAAAAATGGCATATTTTAGGTGCAGCACCAGAACAGTTATTTGCCTCCGTTGCCTTTTGTTACACCTGCCAGAATTCCTTATCTTGGCTGTGCATTGTAAAGTGTTGCTCATGCCCCTTCTCACACAAGGCTCAAGAAATGTGACCATAAATGTTCCAGTTCCTACAGGTCACTCGCACTTGTGATTGCACCAATTCTATACTCCACACACTGATAAAATCCAAAAGCTCTGGAGTACTCCAAGCAGATGAGCATCTTGAGCCATAACCAACCCCGTTTCCCTGAGAAGATTCTACACAATGAGCCGGACACTAATAAGTGGATTTTAAAATTCCCAGGCTTTGCAGTTGGGTTGGGAACTTTGCATCTGTTTGTGGCTGCAGAGCAGTGGAGTTCTAAGCGCTGGCCAGAGTGGCTAATTGGGCATGTGGAAAACATGCTGGAGTTCAATAAACTCAACAAAAACCCTATTTTAGTACAGTGTATGATTGTCAACAGTAAAGGGAGCTGGAAGTTTTTTGTCGCAAGAACTGGGCACTTGTTGCGACTTTTGTTGCATTGCAATGTGAACATTCTCTGGGTTTTGTCACCAAGAAGTGTGTGTGTATATATTTTTTGCAACAAAACTTGCTAGTGTAGACAAGGCCTGAAAATCCAGTCCTCGGTGTTTCAGATTAGGTAAATTAGAGATTAACAGTTTAACCAATAAGATCATGCTTATCACTTAATGGTGTCAATTAAACTCAGCCAGCTCTTGGGTAGTTAACTTTGCTGCGGCAGGGCATCAAAGCTCCCTCCCCAGGAGCCCAGCAGACAAGGGCTGCCAGTTCTGCTCCCAAGGAAGTAGCTTTGCTGCTGCAGTGAAGCCGCCTCTCTGGGAGTCAGGTGGGTAGGAGCTGCAGCTCTTACCAGAGGCAACTGTGTCACAGGCAATGGTGTTGAGCCAGATTAATTTAAGGCAGCTTCTCACCAGCTCCTGCCTGCCCAGAGCAGCAGGCAGCACTCTTGGAGCCCATTGTTTGTGGGTAGCCAGCTTTTAAGCTGTCTCCCTGTGTGTAGCGGGAGCCTGCCTGTAACCATGAATGTAACCAATGAGCCTGGGCTCATCAGTTAAACTGTGTCAATGGTTACATTTTCACATTCCTAATACTGGCTTTGCTTTGGTTCTTTGAGCAGGGTATGTTTCATGACAGGCAAGGTCATTCTAACATTCAGTTACCAGCCTGTTCACATGACTAGCATAAATCCAGTGTTTAGGGAAATGTGAGCATTTTAATTTTAGCTCTTTGTGAAATAAAACACAAGGTTGATCTCTAAAAGTAAAAATTAAAAAAAAATACTTGACAGTATCCTAAACTCAAAAAAGCTAGTAGAGTTAACTCTAAACTTAAATAAACATTTCAGTAGCAGGTGATCCCATGTATCACTTTGTAATTATCAACCTGACAGAACTCCTAGTGTTGCAGGAAAATGTATTGTTGCCATCATGGCAGAGAAAATCAAAGGGGAATTAATCTGAGTTCCACTTAATCACTCCTTCTGTGGTGCAAGTCAAAGGGGAATTAATCTGAGTTCCACTTAACTTGCACCACAGAAGGAGTGATTGGTTCTTACAATTATCGCTCTTATTCCAGTGCCAAGAAACTATGATCCAGCATTGCATCCGTTTGAGGTTCCACGAGAGTATGTTCGAGCCCTGAATGCAACAAAATTAGAACGTGTGTTTGCAAAACCTTTTCTTGCTTCACTGGATGGGCACAGGGATGGAGTTAATTGTATGGCTAAGCATCCAAAGAGTTTATCTACAATACTTTCTGGGGCATGTGATGGAGAGGTAAGATATTTATTTTTGCAAATTTAATTTTTAAAATATTTTGTAGATAAGAATACCTGTACTGAGTCAGACCAATAGTCCATCTAGACTAGTACCCTGCCTTCCAACAGTGGCCTTTGCCAAATGCTTCAGAGGAATGAACAGAACAGGGCATTATAGAGCGATTCATCCCCTGTTGTTCAGTCCCAGCTTCGGTCAGTCAGAAGCTTAGAACGCAGAGCATAAGGTTAGCTCCTTAGCCATAACATCATGATTTTAGACTTCTATCATATTCTGCCTAACCGGGTTGTGAATATGTACCCATTTATACAATTAACCAATGAGCCTGAGCTCATTGGTTAATTATAACGGTTACATGCAGCAGCAGCACCCCACCACCCCGGCCTCTGTATCAGAGGCAGTGTAGGGGGACAGGTGACTACGCTGGTGCTCATATGCATGGGGAGGTGGCTTAAAAGAGGCAGCAGTATGTAGAAGGGCAGATAAGAACAGGCTTCCATGGAGCTGCCTGCTCCCCACACTTTTGCCTCTGATATGGAGGCTGCAAGGGAGGGAACAGGCATGAGCCAGTTGGCTCACGGAGAGCTGGCTTAAAACTTGGCTTCCCATGAGCACCAGCTTCCATCTCCTCCCCATCTCATGTGTAAACATGTAGCCGCTCTAAATTTCAGCGGTTACAGGTTTACAAAAAATAAACAAGTTTTAATATCCCTACTGTCTAAATCACCTGTTTTCTAAATTGAACAGTCCCAGTCTTTTTACTTTCTCCATCTGAAAGCTGTTCCATATCTCTAATAATTTTTGTTGTCTGTCTCTGTACTTTTTCTATATCTAATATATCCCCTTTTTAGATGATGCAATCGGAACTGCACACAGTATTCAAGATGTGGGCATACCATGGATGTATATAGTGGCATTATGATATTAACTGTCTTATTATCTATTCCTTTTCTAATGGTTTCTAACATCATTAGCTTTTTTTCCATGATCTCTACATGAGTGGATGTTTTTATAAAGCTATTCTCAGCAACTCTAAGATCTTTTTTGAGTTGTAACAGCTAATTTAAACCCCATCATTTTGTACGTACTGCTCGATTATATTTTCCAATGTGCATTACTTTGCATTTATCAACATTGAATTTCATCTGCCATTTTTGTTGCCCAGTCACTCAGTTTTGTGAAATTCCTTTTGAATTCTTTTGTCATCTTTGCACTTAACTATTTTGAATAATTTTGTATCATTTGCAGACTTTGCCATCTCACCATTTATCCCTTTTTCCAGATCATTTATGAATATATGGAACCACACTGTTCCCACTACGGATTCTTGGGAGACCCTGCTGTTTACTTTTCTCCACTGTGAAAACTAACCATTTATTCCTACCCTTTGTTTCCTGTCTTTTAAACAATTAGGGTATGTCTACACAGTGGGGCTATTTCAAGACCTATTTCGGCATGCCTGTAACACTCATTCCACGAGGTGTGAGGGATGTCTCAAAATAAGTGCATTATTTCAAAATTTGGCACTGTGTAGATGCACCATATTTCAAAATATCCCCCCCCCAACATATTGTGTTCATCTGTGTGTCTGATTATTCTGTTTTTTACTAGAATTCAACCCTTTGCCCGATAATGAAAGTAGGAATTGCTACGGTTGCTTCTGGAGCCTTCTTTAAAAATTGGCATTATATTAGCTATCTTTCTGTTATCTGGTACAGAGGCTGAATTAAGTGATAGGTTATGTGCAACAGTTAGCTTTGCAGCTTTTTGAGTTCCTTTAGAACGGTTGGGTGAATCCAAAAAGACCTCTATTGGCACATCTGAGGAATTGTTTCCTAAAAATAATGGCTCAGGTGTGGGACTCTCCCTCACATCCTCTGCAGTGAAGAAGAATAATGCGGCCAATTCATTAGCTTCTGTCCAATGCCTTTGTCTTCCTTAAGTGCTCCTTCAGCATGTTGTTTGTCCAGTTGACCCCACTAATTGTGTGGCAAACTTCTGCTGATGATCTGTTTAACTATTTTTGCTATTAGTATCTGTCTTTTCCTGGTTGTTCTTCAAATTCTTTTTTGACCGTCCCAGAGTTTTTGTCTTTGAATTTTTCCTGGTAGGATTTGACTTGAATATATTTGTCCTGAGCCTTTGTTCACAGTTGTCATTTTTAAGCTTCTGCATATAGCAAGAAAGCTAAATATTACTCTCTATTTTTGTATTCAAAAGCTTCAGAGGGGTAGCGGAGTTAGTCTATAACAGGAAAAACTTAAAAAATAATGAATAGACTAGTAGCACCTTAAAGACTAAGGTATTGTATTGTTACAGGTATCAAATAAGAGTACTGGTAACTGTTTTTAATTATTACAGAATAAACTCATCATTTTTCTCCCCACTTGATTTACTTTGTGCTCTGAATCTGTCATGTACATTGTTGAAATTGTTTAGTCATTTTATTTCCCGTTATTTATGAGTATTACATATATAATTATGGGGGCGGGGGACAAAACTTTTTTAGAAATGGTGGGTAGATGAATTGAAAGCACGTGCATAAATATATAGGAAGCATTTTGGGACTCAGTATTGTAGAATGAAAGATGTCTTGGACATTAACACAAAATAAAATATAACCTAAGTACATTTTTAATTCATTTCAGTTGGACTAAAAAAAAACCCTGAAATAAAAATATTTATTAGAGAGAAACAGACGTTGGAGATGTAATCAGAAACTTCTGAGTTAACATGTTTACTATGTAACTGTAAAATTGTAAAAGTATTGTTCTTTCCCATTGAAGTATGAAAGAACTATTGAAATGAAATCGACTTTTTTCCATTGTATCCAAAAGATTATTCTCTTGGATTTCTCCTTTTATAAGATGGCTCTATTTTTCTCAGAAAATTTGTGCATATTCTTTTGTATAATTTTATGTATTTAAAGGGAGTAGAAAAATCCCAATGGGACCTGAATTTCAAAGTAGCTACAACTATTGTGATGCAGTATGACTATATAAGAAGTGACATCATTGGTGTCTTAACTTGTTTGTGGACTGCAATGTAATTACAACTTTTCAAAAATATCACACTCTCGGATAGGAACATGCCCTTTGACATGACAATTTATGACATCTTATAATTAGAAAACTACTAAACGGAAACATGTTTTGGTATGCTATTAACAGGTTAAAATTTGGAACTTGACCAAGCGGGAATGTATCCGTACTTTACAAGCACATGAAGGCTTTGTACGAGGGATATGTGCGCGTTTTTGTGGTACTTCTTTCTTCACTGTAAGTATACTGTTGGTATGACCTGTAGAGCAATATTTCAAGGCATAATTGCATTGTTTGTTTTCCAGTCAGAAACTTACTGTAGTGAGGTGACAAGCTTCTCTGTTATAGAATGTTTAAAATGGCAATAGTTTTTAGGAATAGCTTCCACTAAACTCCATTTATATTGCAAACCAGACCTTTTCTGTCTCTAAACAAAAATATTTTGCTCTACAAGAAGTTTGTTAACCAATACTAGCAATTTTTTGGTATTTTTCTTTTAATGAGGGAAATTCAAGTTCTTTTACTTGTTGGTTTTGTATGTAAACCTGGATTCATTGAAAAACATGAATGGTTGCTATAATTGGTTGAATAATTAAATTAAAAAATGTTACATCAATAAAACTCCCTTTTGTTATTTTATATGAAATATGAGTTCAAGTGCACATAAACTGTGATAAAATATTAGCATTTGGTGTTCAAATGAAAACAGGAATAACATCTGATAGTGAATGAAGTACAGAGAACAGAGTGAGTTGATGGGTGTTCTTGTTAACAAAAATCCCTTATGTCCATCTACAACATTAAAACGTGTACCCACTGCTCTGAAGTAGACATGAGGAAGAAAAGAGAGGTTTCAAAAGTTGTATAATTTAGGAGCTTGATTTGTGTAAATAGAATAAATATGTGTTTAAATAATTGAAAGAGCTAGCTGTATACATTTTTCTCCAATACTTCCAGGTTGGTGATGATAAAACTATAAAGCACTGGAAAATAAATGGCCCAGAAAATGGGGAAGAAGAAGAACCACTGCATACAATTCTTGGAAAGGTATACAAACTTTGTTTTGGTTTCACACTTCTATTCTCTTGATGCAATTCCAAAGTATATTGTGTTACTACTTAAGTTACTTATGCGTGAACTAGTGGGATGGAAGCTGATTAATTATATATTTGGGATTTACATTTCTGCATCTGTTCCTGGCAATATTTATGCAGTCAGAGTGAATCTGGAAAAATTTTTTGTATGTGGACAGGATTTGTGTTTGAGGTGACTCTTGAATTACATCTCTCATTAACATTGCTATGAAGACAAGTCCTTAAAGTGCTCTGTTTAGCTTATACAAAAAAATTGAGATTACATTAATACGATGTGTAAGTTCCTTCATGGGGAGAAAATACCAAGTACTAAAGGGCTCTTTATTTTAGCAGAGAAAGGCATAGCAAGAACGGATGACTATATACTGAAGTCAGACAAATGAAAAATAGGAATTAGGACAGATTTTTAACTGTGAAGGAGGTTAACCATTAGAACAAACTACCTGTCCAAGTGATGGATTCTCCATCTCTTGATATCATCTTGTTGACTGGATGCTTTTCAGGAAGACAGACTTAGCCAAATACAAGTTATTCTTAGATAGGAGTTATTGGTATCAGCACTGGGTTAAATGGGTGAAATTATTATAGGTCATCAGACAGGAAGTCAGACTAGATGATGATGGTTTCTTCTGGCCTGCATCTATGAGATGTGATTGTGGTTTTATTTTAAGTATTAAAAGAAAGTTGGATATATGTCATCCTCCACCCAGTGCACATAATTATTTGTATGTGATGTATAATAATTCTTTTCAAAATATTCTGAGCTTTAGAGAGAGTTAAAAATTAATTATGGGTAAAGCCATAAGGAAAATTGTTAACAGAAGATTCAGCTATACATATAGGAGACCTATTTGACTTAACTGCCTCTGGAAATCAACTAAATATTTTTAAGTTTTTTTCCTTCATATACATTTTAAATATGTTGTATTTCAGAGTAAAATGATCAGTCAGGCTGGTTTCAAACTGTCTGAGTGGCCTCTTAATATGGGTTTCACTATATAGCATCAAAGAAAATTTACAAAAAAGAACTTGCACACAGAAAATGAAAGGCTACAATATTCTTAAAATGGGTAAATATGAAAGATTGCAACATGTCTGTGCAGCAGGAGGCTACAGTTTGGTTATAAGAACGGCCGTACTAGGTCAGACCAAAGGTCCTTCTAGCCCAGTATCCTGTCTGCCGACAGTGGCCAACACCAGGTGCCCCAGAGAGGGTGGACCGAAGACAGTGATCAAGCAATTTGTCTCCTGCCATCTCTCTCCAGCCTCTGACAAACAGAGGCCAAGGACACCTCTGGCTAATAGCCTTTTATGGACCTAACCTCCATGAAATTATCTAGCTTCTCTTTAAACTCTGTTATAGTCCTAGCCTTCACAGCCTCCTCTGGCAAGGAGTTCCACAGGTTGACTACATGCTGTGTGAAGAAGAACTTTCTTTTATTCGTTTTAAACCTGCTACCCATTAATTTCATTTGGTGTCCTCTAGTTCTTCTATTTAGGGAACCAATAAATAACTTTTTTTTATCGGCCCTCTCCACACCACTCATGATTTTATAGACCTCTATCATATCCCCCCTCAGTCTCCTCTTTTCTAAACTGAAAAGTCCCAGTCGCTTTAACCTCTCCTCATATGGGACCCGTTCCAAACCCCTAATCATTTTAGTTGCCCTTTTCTGAACCCTTTCCAAGGCCAAAATATCTTTTTTGAGGTGAGGAGACCACATCTGTACACCGTATTCAAGATGTGGGCGTACCATAGTTTTATACAGGGGCAGTAAGATATTCTGGGTCTTACTTTCTATCCCTTTCCTAATAATTCCGAGCATCCTATTTGCCTTTTTGACCGCTGCTGCACACTGCGTGGAAGTTTTCAGAGAACTGTCCACGATAACGCCAAGATCATAGCCAAATTAGCCCCCATCATACTGTACATATAGTTGGGGTTATTTTTCCCGATGTGCATTACTTTACACTTTAAATTTCATTTGCCATTTTGTTGCCCAATCACTCAGTTTGGTGAGATCTTCTTGGAGTCCCTCATAGTCTGCTTCTGTCTTCACTATCCTAAACAGTTTTGTATCATCTGCACTGCTTACCCCCTTTTCCAGATCATTTATGAATAAGTTGAAAAGGATTGGTCCCAGGACTGACCCTTGGGGGACACCACTAGTTACCCCCTCTCCAATCTGAAAATTTACCATCAGTAAATTAACCATAGTCATCAGTACTTTAAATAATAAATGTAAGAACTTGAAAAATTCATTATACAAAGATGAGTTGATCATTCTTGTAACTAAGTTTTTTGCCTTTATAGACTGTGTACACAGGAATTGATCACCATTGGAAGGAAGGTGTTTTTGCAACTTGTGGTCATCAAGTAGACATCTGGGATGAACAAAGGAGCAGTCCTGTGTGTTCTTTGGCATGGGGTGTTGATAGCATAAGCAGTGTTAAATTTAATCCCATTGAGGTAGTGTTTTCTTTATACATATTATATGTCAATGTATGATTTAATCAGTACAAGGACTACATTATGTTGATGTTCAGGGGTTCATATTAAACTTTGTTTGTTCCAAATTAAATTTCCCAGACAGCATTTTTAACACCTGATACATAGCTTTAAGTGGCAATATTGCCTGAATAGTTAATAGTGAAGGAGTTTACTGGATGTATCCATACTAAATCAGTGACCAACATGGTGTTGAGGGGAACATTTTTATTGACTGTAGTAAGTATTTTAAATACCCATTTTAAAAAGTTAATCGGTTAAATTATATAATTTTAATAATCCAACTGGTTAACTGTGGAGGGCTAGTGCAAAGCAGCTGGGCTGCTCCAGGCAGGGGCCCCTGTAGCTGCGGTTCTGCCGCTCAGTCCTCCATGGGAAGATTAACTGGTTACCAGGTAAGCATGCCTGTAAGGCTAATGCTTACCAGATAAACAGTTAACCTTTTACAGCCTTAGAATGTACCATGCTTTAGATTAGATGGTGTATATGTGAGAGTCCCGGGGGAAAATGGATGGGTTCTGATTTCTTGTTTGGCACAAAGTTATTTCTAAAATAGCCCTCAGATTCCCTGTGTAGGTACATAAAACTTTTGACACCAACATTTTTTGACAGAGAAAATTCAAGACTCTGTTCCTGGTCTGTGACTGCCTTTCTTCAGAGAGTTTTATTGAAATATCAAGAGTCATGTGTTAGAAAACAATGGCAATATCTGTACTTAAATTAGCAAAACAGCGTTGATTAGATATTTGGTATAAAATATATACTAATTGAAAATATCTACTCACTGTCCTATTTTTGGTTTGCTTTCATCACTTTAGAAAGTGGTACCTGATATAATGGCATAATTATTTTTTAGACCTATCTTTTGGGAAGCTGTGCTTCAGATAGAAATATTGTGCTGTATGACATGAGGCAATCAACTCCATTAAAGAAGGTAACTTTATTTTCTTTGTGTTTTTGTAAAGATTTGTTCATAAAAGATTGATAGCAGTTTTGGTAATTCAACACTTCAGTAGCATGTTCACATGGAAAGACCCCAGATAGTGTAAAGTTAGTTCTTGGCATAGGGCTTGTCTATATTTGTCACTTAAAAAAGAAAAAACATCTTTTTTGTATAAAAACTGGGAGTTATTGTCAATGAATTTTTGCAGTGAGACTCTGAAGTTTCACCACAAAAAGAAAACCACTTCCATGAGAGGTGTACAGCTCTTTCCAGCGATGCTTTTGTCGTGATGTGCAAGTGAAGAACTATTCTTCCCGTTCATAGAACTTTTAGCCTCCACAGGGTATTCCACAGTGCCTGGGTGACCGATTGCTGTAGCCAGAATCTCTACTGTCAGGTAAACTGAAGTCCGAACCATCTCCTGAAACTTTGAACTCTCCTTTCTATTTTCTTAGCAAGTGCACACTTATCGTTGCTCTCATCAGGGATGGAGGTGTTGCAAATGTAAATACTTTGACACCTGTGACCCTAAGTTAGTACACAAACCAGTGCTTTTCTTTTACCAGTTCCGTATCACTGGTGAAACTGCTCTGCAAGTGTAGACATAGCCAGTAAGCATAGGGGATTTTGAATGAAATGGAAGTTCTTTGAGTGTGTTCTCTCTTTAATTTGAACCTTTTAACCTAATCTGGGGTTAAGATTTGGGGATTTAAACCATGCAAAGGGATAAAAAAGGGTCTTGTTTTCATATCAGATTGACTGTCATGCTCTCTCTATAACTTGTGCCCAGTCTGACACACATTGACAGTGAGTTTTAATTGATTTTGTTTAATGTAATGCTTCTACACCTAACTTTATTTTTCTTAGCAGAGGGGGAGGCAAAGTAACTTTTTTTTAACTCTTAAAAGATTTTCAGTCGAAAAGTAGACCCAATTTAGGCTGTACTGAAAAACTGAGCTTGCACACATTTATAAATGGAAATACATTTTTTTAGCTTGCTTGAGTTAAATACTGTAGTGTGATCAATACATTTCTACTTAACCGAATAAATATTTGTCAAATAATGTTTATATACATTGTTTTATACACACTTGTCTTTACAAAAATATTTTAGGCAAACCATTAAGTGCAAGATAATTCACAGTTGAGTATTTATGAACAGGTATTGTGGTTAATAGATTCAACAACTGACTCGTCTTGATGACAGTTGTGTTTGTATGGAAGCCCAGTATATACACCTATTGTGCCTTTTTTAAAATACTGGCCTTCTTTAGAATAGAAATCAATTAAAGCATCCAATACTTGTCACAATGAGATTCAATCCTTGATGTAGATTGCCTCTGGAAATTAGTGTTTTGTAGTGCAGAATCTGGACTTTCCTATTGAAATGGTCACACATAGAAATATGCTTCTAAACTTCAAGAGATCCATGATATTATAAATCTATAGCAGTATAGTAAGAACTGGGCTATACATTTATTTTTGTGGCTCTGGTGTAAACTGTGCAAAGTTCAATTACTGTCAGTTAGTTAAAAAGACCCTGAAATTTTTATCCACTAATAACAAGCTAAGAAGAAAGGGAGGGGGCAGGGAGAGTTGTATAGAATAAAAATTAAATACAAAACTTTGACTTGGATTACAGTTAACCTACTGAGTTGTGGAAATTCTGTTTGAATTGCTCACTTATTAATAAATTCTGTGTTATCTATTTAATATGTGGCAGGAAGAATCACTATGTTCAGATAACTCTTGTGATATCGTGGTTGGAAGCTCCATCCCTTGTACTTTCAGCAGAGACCAGAGTTAATCTATTATTAGATAACATTAGATTTTTTTCCTTGCCCCCAACAGTTTCCCAGCTGTCATGATCATTGCAGGACTCTACTTCAAGGTGGAAGAATAGAACATATGTCTTCCTAATACCTTTCATCCAATTGGCTATGAGCAAAGTGTGTGTGTTCTTCCTAGGGTAGCTGTCAGCTACATCCCTTGTACTTTAAGATGAAGCTGGTCTCTTCTGTGGCCATCTGGTTTCCACAAGCTCAGGATGCAAAATTCCTGACTGTTGAAGCAATTTACTGCCAGTGTCACAGGGCCCATTTTTTATTTGTATATCTACGGTATTATAATAATTGCACCCACCCAAAACTGCTAAGAACTTCTTAAAACTAATAAAGACATCATCAGTGGCCTGCAGAATTAATAAACAGTATTTTTTGACATAATACAAAGACATAATAAAGCGGGGGCGCGAGGAGTAGTTGCAGAAAGGACGGAGTCAGTATTAATTTGTTGTGGCTACTTAGCAAAGATTAATCCATTGCATCATTCCTCAAAGGTGACTTTTATGAGATAAATACATTGAATAGATAAGTAGACTTTAAACTGTGAAGTTCCTGTTTGCAGCATGGAAGAAGTGGGTCTTCAGGAAGGCATTTAAAACTAGCTCAATGGACCAGCTCAGGAATGGTATTCCCTGCACATGACATAGCCCTTCTGCGTGACACCTCTCTACAGAGAACTTTAATTGCAGTATAGTCTGAAGGAAAGATCTCCTAATTTAAGATAGAAAGTCCTGAGTCCTAATCCTTGCACTGCGACTTAAATGCTCTGTGGCCTCAGGTATGGGACTTCACCTTTCTGCTTCGGTTTCTGCATCTGAGAATGGAATTGTTTACCTGGTTTCCAAATATATTGGGAGATTTAGTGCGTTAGGAGAATGGCCACTATTTATTACTTATAACAATGTAATAATATGCAACTTTTCTCAGGTTATCTTGGACATGAGGACAAATACACTCTGTTGGAACCCCATGGAAGCTTTTATTTTCACTTCAGCAAATGAGGACCATAAGTAAGCATGATTTCACTTTTTAATTGTCCCTGTTAGTTTATTTACCTAAATCTTACTAGTTCATCCTTATTCTACAATATTTTTATAAAGTCACTTTTCATGTTTGATTCACTTAAATATATGACTAATTAGAGAATTATACGTTTTGTTGTTTTTAAAACTTGTATTAAATAGAATGTCACATTTTCCCTATGAAACAATAGCTGGAATTAATACACTGTCTTTTACTAAAAATTAGCCATCATTTTGTTCTCCAGTGGCTTAGCGCAGCAGTCCTTATTTGGCATTAGTCAGTGAGAGAGTTGAAAAACTGCATGACTTGTACCCTACATTTACAAGCACATACTAAGGAGGGCTGTGGGACTATGTATGCACAAGCTACTGTTGTACAGGCAGTCACCGGGTTACGTACAAGATAGGGACTGTAGGTTTGTTCTTAAGTTGAATCTGTATGTAAGTCAGAACTGGCGTCCAGATTCAGCTGCTGCTGAAACTGACCGTGTTTCTAAATTATTTTTTAAATTGTACCAGAAAAAAAGCAATTGGCTAACATTTTTGAAACCTAGATATCTAAGGTTTATTTCTTCAATACATTTATAGCCCCTGCTTGTAAATGGCCTAATTTTTAAAGACACTGAGTACCTGTAGCTCCCATTAACTTCATTGGTAGATGAGCTTTCCCAGCACTTCTGAAAATTAGGCCACATGTTTAGATGTTGGAATACAAATTTAAGAGTTTAACTTTAGGCTCCTCAGTTTAAAAATATTGGCCATTTCTTATCAAAATAATAGCTGTAGACTGTATCAATACCATCAGCAAACTTTCACATTAAACATTTTTTAACAAAAGGTTTTGAATTAGTCATGCTCAAATATTTTCAGGAGTTTACATCTATCAATAGATTTGAGAGCAAATGTGGCTTTACATTTTTTTGTATTCTCAGTATAGAGAGAAATGGGCAGAGAAGACTGGTTTTAGCTTCCAACTTGCAAGTGACCACAGAAAACAAGACACATACAGGCAGTCCCCGAGTTACTCCGACTTATGTCGGATCCGCAGTTACGAACGGGGTTTGCTCCGCGTCTCCCTGGTCTGCTGGAGACCAGCAGACCAGGGAGACCGGGAGCAAAGCCTCTGAGGACGCCAGCAGTGGGACAGCCGCGGGGCGTCTGGGCTGTCCCGCTGCCCGAGCCCCTCCGCAGCTTTGCTCCGCGTCTTCCTGGTCTGCAGACCAGGGAGACGCGGAGAAAGCCCCGGAGTACATGGGCGGCAGGACCGCGAGGTCCCACAGTCCGTGTCCTCCGGGGCGAGCCCCGTTCGTAACTGTGGATCCGACATAAGTCGGATCCGCGTAAGTCGGGGACTGCCTGTACTTCCAACTTTCTTTCTCTAACTAAATCTGTTGTTCCTATATTAACAAGATTTGTCTGTCCTTGATTGCCTGTATTATTTATCTGCACTAAAAGTTATGCGTGATCGTCAAAATGAGAGGGACTCTGTCTGTAGGAAGAGGAAATGGGGATATAAAATAGCAGTTCTTGAGTCATTGTTTTAGCTCACAATAAGAAAAAGTGAATAGATATAAGCATAACCGACAATGGCGCTTGGAAATTAAACATCGATTATTCAGCCACTGGCAATGGAAGTGGTTTTTTTTTTTTTAAACTTACCAGCGCTCATGAATCCTGCCACAGTGTGCTAATCAGCTATTTTGGCATGAATATTTAAAAAAAAAAATCCCCTTCTTGATATGTTTCACAAAAAGTTTTAGTGCTTATCCTTTGGTAGCTTTTCCTGTCTCCCAAAAGCACTGTTTTATTTTTGGAAGGCACTGGCCACTTGAGTGGTTAATATGATGTCGGAAAAAGCCTTCTCTCTCTCTCTATTGGTGGTTAAACCCAGAAGCACTCCAGATATACTTCATACCTTTCTTTCCAATGAGCCAGGAGTCCAATAACAGAGATCACTGCTTTCTTCCAGAATGTATTAATGTAGTTATTCTTCTTGAGAATTCTTTTCCAAAGACTTGGTAACTGGCCATGTCCTTGAAAAGGGGCATATATTGGATGTTTTGTTCCATCCTTATTTGGTGATGAAGTAAGGCCTTCTAAGCAGCTTAGTACAACTCTTCACTTGTAGCACCACTCAAGTGAACAAATCTTTGCAAAGTTGGCACCACTATTCATTCCTCTAATTTGTGTTTTAAAAATAAAGCAGGTAACAATTCTTGTGTACTGTTGTACATCTTCAACACTTTGTACAAGCTTTAGTTAATTAAATGGTGGAACAGCAGATGTGAGTGGGAGAATTATGAGAAGTGGTGGCTGCCAGTATATATATTTAAAAAAAAAAAGACTTTATCAGATTAATTCGTTATCTATTCAGCTATAGTGGAGAGAGTGAACATTGTAGATTAAGAATGTTAAAAAGTGTGTTTTGGAGGTTTTATTTGTAAATGCGTGGCCGTTGCAATTTTCAGCATTTACACGTTTCCGCATGAGGGGTGGAGCAGGTGGCTCTATGGGAGCTGGTGCATGTGGGGAGCCAGCTTTCCCTGATGCAGAGGCAAGGGGGTAGGGCGGGAGCCAGTACTCGCAGGGAGCTGCCTGGCCCCTTTTTCCTTGCTGGTACAGACGCAGCAGTGTGGGGGGGGAGGAAGGTGGAGCCACATGTAACTGTTTATCCATGTATCCTAATACATCCCTATTATAGAATGTTAGTCACAACAAATGTTCTGTATCATTGTGAATAAAGCACCCTCGAATGCTGGTGCTATGCATCTTTATAATTCACTTAGTGAGTTCAGGTTGCCATATATCATTGTTAGGTTCTCTCTGTGAAGAGGTCTGTCTTTTATATGTGAAAGAGCATTCTTAGGGCTTGAATACAAAGTAAATTCACACCCTACCTTAATCTAAATTAAAAGTACAGTAGTTCTTCCAGAATAACTCTGTGTAGACAAGCCCTTTACTAATTTCTCAAACCCATTTAGGCAGTGGTTGAAAAAATCTGCTTGCTCATTCTTTTGGGGAACTTTCCCTGGTGACTGGGGAGGCGTAAGCCAACTTCTGCATAACTGCCTTTTTTTTTTAGTTCCAAATATAAACTAAGCTTGTGTTGGCAGAGCTGCAGTGCCTCTGCTCCTGCTACCTTTTTCAAGCAGCAACAGAATTAAATTAACAAGATTGTTCATTTTTACTGATACTATTCTGAACTTGCAATTCAACTAATTTCCTGCTGTTGTTGTATGTATTAAAGCAGCACTTGGAGTGAACAAAATGCTACACAAAGATTTAGGCAGACAGCCCCTGTTGCATACTATTTTCATTCAAGAAAAGCTCTTTTTAAAGGAAGTTTGTGTGGGGAAGAGAGGCTGGGTGATGCAGTGTTACAAGATGCCTCTATCTGCACATATATATTGAAAACACAAACTAATTATCCCAATTCCAGCTCTGGCTAGTCATTAATGTCTGGTTTCTTACAGGTGACATGGTTAAAAGGGGTTTTGAGTAGGCATTTGAATTAGGAGTTGCTTTTAAGCTGGCTTAAAAGCCGGTTCCCCTCCAGCACCATTTGCAGGAGGTAGAGGCACAGCAGAAACAGCATGAGCAGGGTCTGAAGCAATCCCTGCTTGCGCCACTTCTGCAGAAATTCTACTTTTAAAATGTACAAGAGCCCTGCCAGGTCTCTTGTACATTTCAAAGTCTCAGGTGCCACAGGGAGTATGGGGCCAGAGAGGTCCCCTGCTGATCCCACACTCCCTGTGGGGCTTCCTTTTGAAATGTACAAGATCTCCACTGGGGCTGTACATTTCAAAAGGAATCCCCACGCTCCCTGAGGGGCTTCCGTTTTTGAACTCTAGCAAGAGCCCGGCAGGGCTTTTGCTGCAGTTCAAAGGTGGAGGCGCCCTTATACACTAATTGATGGAAATCCCATCGACTGTTTGATTAATTAGTTAATCTAAGTTTAACACGCCTAGTGGAGAGTTTGTGCTATGTGTCCTGTCCTAACTCTTAAATGGATTGATGGTGCCTGCAAGTCTGAGAAACTGGGCTGAGGGGAGCAGATTGCAAAGGGGTAGGTTGGGGAAAGTGGGTGGGTGGGTGCTGGCATCTTTGCAGTCAGGTGGAGTTGGTGGGGCTGTTGGTTTGGGGTGTCTCCCTGACCGACTTTCTGCAGTTCAGATTGCAATCCTCTCTGTTTTGGTTGGAGGAGGGGCGAGAGAGGGGAGAAGCAGGCTGCATGGGTGGGTGTGCGCATGCTGGGACATTTGCATGATTATATTTCAAACAAAGCTTACGTAGTTGTTAATGGCTTTAGGTAAGAAAGAAAAAGATACTTTAAGAGAACTTTTTTGGAGAGTTGTAGATTCTAAAACTGATCTGAATGATTTTTTTTAATCCTGTGTTACTAATTAATACTTGGTAAATTGTATTGCATTAAGGCTGGATCTCTGCTATGTGGTAGAGTTCTAGCTCTTTTCAGTCAGGAGTAGCAAGTACTAGGTGCAATGCTATTTGTTTTGTAGGACAAAACCTGATTTGCAAGCTCTTTGAAACATGCATCTGTCAACAACCCTCATGCCATGTGTTAATTTGCACTGGGGTTTCTACTCTTTGAGTTAGTAACACACAGAAGGTGAAAGTTTCAAACCAGGAAAATTTTTATGTTTTTACCGGTCTGTTTCACTTGTTCTTGTATAGCTTGGAATTTCCATATGCCTAACAATTTTATTCTTAACTATTGTTTCGACTAATTTGCCCAGTACTGACGTTAGTACTTCCTTTCTCCCATCACTGTCTAGTTTAGTGCTAAGCTCTTTCATAGAATCATAGAATAATAGGACTGGAAGGGACCTCATGAGGTCATCGAGTCCAGCCCCCCGCCCTCAAGGCAGGATCAAGCTCCGTCTACACCATCCCTGACAGATGTCTATCTAACCTGTTCTTAAATATCTCCAGAGAGGGAGATTCCACCACCTCCCTTGGCAATTTATTCCAATATTTGACCACCCTGACAGTTAGGAAAGATTTGTTTAACATCAAAGATTTGTTTAACATCTTAAGCTGAGCTATGTGTGGTTAATATGCATTTTGGTGTGTTTACTAGCTTGAGTTGTTAGAAAGAATGATGATACATGTACTGCAAGATTAATGTTAATTTTCTTTTTACTTAATTTCATGTTAAATATCATCATAAGCATTGTTCCTTGTTAAACTATCCCTTGTTTTAATACACTCCCTCAATATTGGTATTGCACATAAGAAATTTCAACTGCCCAAAAGAAAATTAAAGCATGGTGTCGTCTTAAATAGTGAATGTTTTTTATTTTTTAATTTTTTTACAGCTTATATACATTTGATATGCGCTTTCTGGAATCACCTGTCATGGTTCACATGGATCATGTATCTGCAATTCTTGATGTGCATTACTCCCAGCTTTGATAAATCTATTCGCATTTTTCCTGTAGACAAAGGTCACAGCAGGTTAGTGATTTTTTTTTTTCAGGTCTATCTCTTGGGTCTCTTCCCCTACAAAGATGCTTAGCTCTCTATTGATTATACAGATTAATGATTCCCATTGCATACCTTTCAACATAGGAATGAATGTAAATAATAAATCATCTACATGTTTATTAAATGTTTGATGGAAACTACTATTTAATTAATAGTAAATTTTATATTCTAGTTTTGGGTTAAAAATATAAGTGGAATCAAGGATGAATTTTTCTAGCCTTTTAAATCATGTGGTTTCTCTTCTCATTGATATTTCTGGTAGTAAGGTGCCATGGGCAGAAATAATAGTCTAAGTGAATAGTCTAAGAGTATTTCATGTGGAACAAATACCCAGGAGACATCACATCATGAAATAAAGAAGTGTAAGCCGCCTATGTTACTTCCTTGCCAAGCAATATATTTGTTGCTAGCACACCTTTGATTTCTGCTCTCACCTCAGACCTCTACTGCTTTCCAGATATGTCTGTCTTTGAGTATCAATTCTGAATTATAATTCCTCAGTGTATTAGTTTGCATTTATCCCAGCCAAATCTCATTTTATTTCCTGCCTTTATTTCTAATCTGTGTAAGTCACTTTGTATTATGTCTCTGTTATCACTGATGTGTGCAGCACCCAAGGGTTTGTAGCATTTGTCTTTTAGGGGCTGTATTTTTCCTCCTTTGAATGATTACATATAATCAGAAATAAAAGATTCCTGGGAAGGCATTTTGGACACTTCTCCTATCTAGTTCATTTCCAATTACTACCTTTTTGTCCAGGCTTCTTTAACCAGGGGTTTTATCTATGTGAGAGTGTTTGTATAAAAAAAAAATAAGATTTTTTTACGTAAGTTTTCATAAAGCAGCATATTAACTACTGCACAAGTTTAGATTTCATCCTCCGTATACTCCTTTCATTATTTTTTCAACTGGATCAAAATCAAAGAAAGTTGTCAGGTTTGCCTGGCATCATTTGTTCTCCGGAAACCTGTTCTGTTTTGTTTGTGTGTAGTTCCATTATTCTTTACTGCTATAGGTTCTTCCTATTTTGTGTTCTTGCTGCTTTATTTTACTACAGAAGTCTTGCCAAATAGCATTTTCAAGACTTACTCTTTTTTTAAAGATGTCTTTTCTCAAAAGTAGTTGCCAGCGGTTTAACTTTATTAATTATTTCCTCTAGGATGTTGGGGTGAATGTTAACAAGCTTATTATGGGGAGTCTGTTTTATTGACAACTTTGTTAACATATTCTCCAAATTGTTCATTTGCCCCTTTATCTTATTATAGGCCAGCTTTCTTTCGCTCAGGGTTCTTGATAACTAATCAGTGGTGGAATTGTATTGCAGATAGTAATAGAGATGTAGCTGTGTTAGTCTAGTCTAGCTGAAACAAAAAACAGGACTATGTAGCACTTTAAAGACTAACAAGATGGTTTATTAGGTGATGAGCTTTCATGGGCCAGACCCACTTCCTCAGATCAAATTGTGGAAGAAAATAGGCATGACCATATATACCAAAGGGATACAATCAAAAAAAGTAAACACATATAAAAAGGACAAATCAAATTGACACTTTACGCCGGGGTCTTAATAAAGACGCTAATTACCCTACCCATTACAAAGATAGCTTCCCCAATTATCACCTCTAATATCATTACCTCCCAGACATTTATTTCCCCTTCCCCCATCCTCCCTCTGTTCTGAAATTTGATTTGTCATGCCTATTTTCTTCCACAATTTGATCTGAGGAAGTGGGTCTGGCCCACGAAAGCTCATCACCTAATAAACCATCTTGTTAGTCTAAAGTGCTACATAGTCCTGGTTTTTTTTGTATTGCAGATGCACACTGTAATTCCCTGACTGTTTTTTAAATTTTTATATTGCTAAGCTAAGTGGTAGTAGCTGTTCCTCTTATATGTATGTTTGTTTGTTTGTTTTATAGAAGTTAATATAAAAAAGTGGATATCAAGAGAGAGGCAATTGCCTTTGTGATACATTAGTCAGTTAATATCCCTATTCAATCCTCAGTTGATCGTACAGATTGGACCTTACTGGTCTGGCACCCTTGGGACCTGAGCGATCCTGGATGAGGGAATTTGCCAGACCAGGGAAGGTCCCCTGCTGCCTACCTCCAGTTGGGCGACACAGGTGTCCTGGTCCCGCTGTCATAATTGCTGTTCTGGCCCCACTGTTGGCACGGCGGCATGCAGCCCCAATTGGGTTGCCATTGCCACAGATGGGCTACCCATGCTGGGCTGCTGTGGCTCGGCCTTGCCGTCAGGCCATGGATGTTGCCCGATGAGAGAGTCCCAGTTTAGGGAGGTGTAACCTGTATTGAATTCTTCGGATTGAATAAGGATCTTAACTGGTTAACGTGCTACAAAGGCAATTTCCCCTCTCTTGATATGTACGTTTCCACATCAGCTGCTATGAATGAACCATTTTCACCCTGACTTCGTTAACCTCATATACATAAGTACCCTCTTTCTTTTGGTGTCCTTATATACACTCATGCCTCTATAAACTTCACTCCAGTTCATTTGATGACGTGTTTTACCCATGAAAGCTTATGCCCTAATAAATCTGTTGGTCTCTAAGGCTTACGCCTACATTGCAGTGCCCATTATTTCAAAATATAATTGGCTCACTATTCTGATGTCCCTGTAAAGCTCATTCAATGAGAAGTAAGCAGCCAAAATGAGTAGGGGGCTGGAGCACATGGCCTATGAGGAGATGCTGAGGGATTTATGCTTATTTAGTCTGCAGAAGAGAGTAGTGAGGTGTGATTTGTTAGCAGCTTCCTGAAGGGAGGTTCCAAAGAGGATGGAGAGAGGCTATACTCAGTAGTGACTGATGGCAGAACAAGGAGCAATGGTCTCAAGTTACAGTGGGGGAGGTATAGGTTGGATATTAGGAAAAACTATTTCACTAGGAGGGGGGTGAAGGACTGAAATGGGTTACCTAGGGAGGTGGTGGAATCTCCATCCCTAGAGGTTAAGTCTTGGCTTGACAAAGCCCTGGCTGGGTTGATTTAGTTGGGATTGGTCCTGCTTTCGGCAGGGGGCTGGACTTGATGACCTCCTGAGGTCTCTTCCAGCACTATGGTTCTATGATTTTGAGACATTTTGTAATAGTGATTTATTTCAAAATAAGTGCTGTGTAGACAGCGCCAAATTTCAAAATAAGCTATTTCGAAATTGATTTGAGGTAAGCTGTGTAATTTGTGTAGCTCAAATAGCATAGCTTATTTCAAGCTACGGGTACAGTGTATACAAACATACCCTAAGGTGCCAGAGGACTCGTTTTCATAGCTACAGACTAACACGGCTACCCCCCTGAGACTGTACTTACTCTTTGCAAGCCCATACTGAAGCCTGTACCACTTTACTTACACTAGAATTATTACCCATGCTCAGGGTTTGCCGAACCACGGCGAGTCCTGCTTGCCAGCTGCGCTGTCCGGCGATCTGCGCATGCGCAGATAGCCCAAACCCAGCTCTTCCGGGTTGCATTATTTGTTGAGCCTTGCCCATGCTAACTAAATTAAAATTGCTATAGATTATGTCTATCCCACATGCTTTCTCTCCTAAATGGGAGAAGAGCCTTTTGTGGAAGACCTTACATGTTCTGAGGAAGCTGTAAGCACTCTCATTGGTGTTCTCAAATTCAGCCTTGAAGATACACGTCCTTAAATGTGTACACAACTCCCGCAAATGTACACAGATATGAAAAGGCAAATTTTATGGCCAGACTCTAAGGTGATGTAAATTGGTGCAATTCCTTTGAAGTTTATGGTACTGTGTTTACACAAGGGCTACCTCTACATTACAAGGTTTTTGTGCAAAACCAGTGGTTTTTGCACAAAAACTTGGGGAGCATTCACACCTCAAATAAGCTCTTGCGCAATTAAATGGGCAGTTACATGGCAGGACAGGGGACTTTTCCCACCATAGGTAAACCATTTTTTCCGAGGCATAACTGCTTTTAGAGCTACAGCTATTGTGCATGAAGTCAAGAAGCCCCTATGGAAAAAAGCACAGGTGCTCTGATGGCCATTCTGTAAATGGATATCAGAACTTTTTTGCGCTTTTGCAATGTGCTTTGAGATGTGGATGTGCTCTTGTGTGAGAAGCTTTTGCGCAAAAGCTCTAGCACAATAGGCTTCTTGCGCAAGAAGCCTGTAGTGTAGATGTAGCCAAGGTGAGGTTGTAGCCCTTGATAGATGATATTTAACTTTGTATAGTTCTTGACCAGTGTTTCCTCTAACATTTTCTATGCTTGGTTGGGTTGAATTTTCTTTTGGGTGGGTTGAAATTTCTTATGTGCAACACTAGTACCCCCCTTCCTTCCACACACACACACACACACACACACACACACACACACACACACACACACACACACACATTTTAATCAATCCATATGCATGAAAGAAAATATATTAAAACAAGACACCAGTGTCTAGTTGCTGAGAGATACCCTTAGTGCTGTGGTTCTCAACTGGTGGTCCATGGAGACTTTTTCAGTGGTCCGCAGGAACATTGCCCAAAGCCACACGGCGTGAGCAGGCACTGCCATTAGGCTGTTTTACGCCGTGTTCACACACATGCGGCGCATCATCCATAGAGTCACCTAGGACGCAACCGCATTGTGTTGCCAGTGACTTCTGTCTGAGGCTCTGAGTGTCAGTGTAGCAGCCGCTGTCATGCTGAGCAGTTGCTGTGTCATTCGTCCTGTGCTACATGTGCTGTTTTACAGGTATGGTGTAGTTTGTTGTTAATGTCAATGACAGGAAGAAATGTCAAGCGCAAGTATTCGGAGGACTACAACAAATTTGGCTTCACTTGTCAAGAAAAAGGAGGTGTGGATTTGCCACAATGTATTATTTGTTTCAAAGTCTTGGGGAATGACTCAATGAAGCCGACTAAGCTGAAACTCCATCTTGAGAAGTGTCACCCCAACTTGTTGCAAAAGTATGAAGATTATTTTGAGC